GTTGATTCCCCATTGACTAAGTTTTTTACTATGAGTAAAGTGGGCCCATCAGGAGGAGAGAGCTGTTTGAATCATTATCATCCCTAAACCACACAGGACAAAGTAGGAGGTCAACTCTCTGGCAAACCTAAGTTCTTTACCTAAAAGGATGGAAGGGAGAGGATCACAGCTTTCTTCATTGTTTGAGACTCAGGTATAGTCTTTTGCATTTATTGTCTGGTTAATAAAGCCTGTTAGCCTGAATGCTTGCAGGGGAAATGAAGTCCCTATTCAAAGCAAAATGAGCCAAATAATGACATTTTGGGGGATGTGAGAAAGATATTTTACGAACAACTCTCTAAAATCATACTTGGGCAGATCACCTGGGGGCCAAGTTAAAAACTGACACATGGAATATGTTGTTTCACAGCCAAGTGAGTACATGGGGGTACTTAATAAATGTTTAATGAATGACCAACTATAATACATCCTAACTAAGTGACCCTGGGCAAGTCACTCAGTGCTTGAGACAACTCTCTAAGACTTCTGATGTGGGTTCTTTGTGAACCCCCTCCATCTGCCTTCTACACCCTATCCTGCTTCTCTTCTTCTCCCCCTGACCTTGGGTCAGCTTATGGTGGAAGCTGAAGTTTCAGCTACTTCCCTCTCCCTTTTCACCCCACTCTAGGACCTAGAAGAACACTTCTGCAATTTGTTGAGAGGTTCAGAAAGCTGACTGACTCTCTTGCAGGCCCAGACTGCTATGTTGTCCCTTTCTATGACTTGCTCTCAATCGCCATTTGTTTCTCATGAGGAACAGGAAAACTGACTACAAGGAGGAGTCAAGGCCAACTTGCTCCAGTTTCAGCATCTGGTCCAATCTCTCCTTGGCAAAATGGAACACTCTGTAGGAAAAGAAGCTATGTCACATGATTAAGACTGGGACTTCCCCTCTTGCCCACCCTGATCTACAGCTAAACTTGAAGGAGAAGCTTTAGAACTGAGGATATTTGGCACTTGACTAAAGTTTCTAAGCTGATAATAATACTGGACATTCAGATAACACTTTGCAGTTTACAAATATAAGGCATGAGTAGTAATGGCAATAAAGCAGTCTAATTACACTGCAAATAGAACACTGAGCCTAGAGTTAGAATGATCTGAATTCCAATCCTACCTTAAACACTTACTAGCTATGTGGCCCTGGGTGAGTCATTTAACTTGTCTGCTTTAGTTTCCTCAAGTGTAAAATCAGGATAATAGTACCTACCTTCCAGAGTTGTTATGAAGGTCAAATGAGATAGTAATAAAGTGATCAGCATGGTTCCTGGCACATAGTAGGTACTTAATAAATGCTTGTTTCCTTCCAAATATTTAGTTTGTTCTTTGCATTCCAAATGGAACCATTCTCATATTCAAAAGCCTACTGATTTTCCCTAAAGATCTATGAATTCTTTTCAGGCTGGGGATATGGAGTGTACTTGAACTTGTATGTTTAATTCCCATATATTTATGTGGATAAAATTTTAGTTTTCTTCTTCAATAAAGTTGAAATCTTATTATTTAAAAGATTAACCCAGATAGCACTATTCAAAAATAAAATAGGCCTGTATTCATCAGATTGCATTTGTAAGACACTGCCCCTTTCATAACCAGCCATCTGGTTACTGAAAGCAGAAAATGAACTTCTGTGTAAAGAAAAAGAATCAAATCTTATCTTATCAAGTATTTATCAAGTACGCAAAATCTTTTCCCTTTCATATGTTAACAGTCTGATTGCTGAAAGGAGCAAGAAAAGGACTATTGTGCATTAAAAAAAACATAGGGGCAGCTAGGTGGTGCAGTGGATACAGCACCAATCCTGGATTCAGGAGGACCTGAGTTCAAATCCAGCCCCAGACCCTGGGCAAGTCATTTAACCCCATTGCCTAGCCAAAAAAAAAAACCATAAAAATTCATATGTAGAGATATAGTTTTTCCTTTTATATGTGAGAAGAAATACAGACAGTTTGGAAGACAGAAAAAAGAACCACACTTCAGATAATGGACTAAGAGGAGCTGTTTGAGACACAGAAATAACTGCAGTCCCTCAGCTCATTTGCAGGTGACTGTTTTAAGAGTGTGAGAAGTTAAAACACAAAGTGGTCAAGCAAATAACTGTTTGAGGATTATAGGGGAATCAGATAAGGACTATTGTTTCATAACTGACAGAAACTTGGATTTCGTGAGTTTTTATCTCATAAGGGAAAAATGAGTCATTGACCACTTCAAGAGGTTCTGAAATGAGTCAGGAGAGTAGCAAGGAAGACATCAGAAGAGGATGCCCTAGGTGGCAACTGACACCAAGAAGAGTGAAAAGGCATGGACCTGGAAAGATTTCATGGCAAATGGGGGAAAAATAATCATGGGGGGAGATGAAACATGTTATCCACTTCCAAAGAGAAAACTGATGAACTCTGGATGCAGATTAAAGCATACTTTTTAAACTTTATTTTTTCTTGTTTCAGTGTTTTCTTTTGCAACATAGCTATAGAATATAGAAATATATATGATATGCAAAATGGAGGAATATGCTTTGCATAACTTCATATATGTGTGCATGTGTATAACTGATATCATATTGCTGACCTTCACAATGTATGGGGAAGGAGAGAATTTGAAACTCAAAATTTTCAAAAATGAATGTTAAAAAAATTTTAGAATTAATTGGGAAATATTTAATGAAATAAATAAAAATATATTTTTGAAAAGAGGTTGCTATGAATTAGAAATTGTACTTCCATATCTTGAACTATATTATAAAGCAGGAGTCATTAAACTATCTGATATTGATTTTAAAATAGAGGTATGTCAATAAAACAGACTGGACAAACAAGAATCAGAAAAATATAGAACTCAACAACCCATTGTTCAATGAACCAGAAAACATAAATTACTTAGGAGTACAATGATATTTGATTAAAAAAAACTGATTGGATAACTGGAAAGAAATCAGGCAGAAACTGGGCTTCAATCAACACCTTATATCATATTCCACAATACATTGGATAAATCACCTTAATATTAAATATCATGCTATAAAAATATCAGAAGAGAAGCAGATAATGTACCTTTCATACCTATAGATAGGAAATATATTCTTAACCAAACAAGAGATAGAGGAAATTACAAAAGATAAAAAGTGATATCTTGGTTACATGAAATTGAAAAGATTTTGCACAAACGAAATTAATGCACCTAGGATCAGAAGGGAAGTGGCCAAATGGAGAAAAAAATGTTTGTGTTAAATTTTTCTGACAAGGGTTTGATATCTAAGATTAATAATCAACAGATATACATATAAGACCAAAAGCTATTCCCCAATGTTGTTGTCCTTTATTTTCTAAGAGAACCAATGACATCCTGGGGTGATATCTTGAGTCACGCATGGATTGGATATAAGTGAGGAAGAATCACACAAAGTCATCAGTCTCACTCTCTCTTCCAGAGCCATCAAAGTTCAGAGGCAAGACAAAAGCCAAGACAACTGGAGATGGCCCGACATGCAGAGAATGACCTTGGCATCTTTGATGTTGACCAAGCTCCAGGCACTCCACAGCACCTGCTTCAGTCACTTTCATGGTCATTGGAAAAATTCACTAATGCCAAAACCCACTGTCAAAGAATATGAACAAACAATTCTCCAAAGAAGAATTGCACATTATTAATCACCAAAGGAAAAAAAAATGTTCCAAATCATTAATAACAAAAGAAATGCAAAATAAAACAACCTTAATGTTGCATCTCACATCCTACAAGTTGGCAAAGATGACAAAAGATGGGAATAGTCAATAACTGGCGAGATGATAGGAAGATAGGGACTCTAGTACATTGTTGATGAATCAGTACAACCATTTTTGAAAGCAATTTAAAATTACACAAAGTGGCTAAACTATCCATACCCTTTGACCCAAGCCTTCCACTACTAGTCATACACAATGGAGACCACTGCTAAAAAAAAAAACTCTATATACACCAAAATGTTTATAGCAACATTCTTGTGATAGAAAAGAACCAGAAAGAAAATAAATGCCCATCAATGGGTGAATGCTAAACAAATTGTGGTATGGGAATGTAATGGAACTTTATTGTGTTGTAAGGCAATCCAAAAGTAATTCATACAGAGAAGAAATACATGAACTGATGCAGAGTGAAATAAGCTGAACCAAGAAGACAATATATACAAGGTCTACAACAGTGTAAATGGACCAAAGGAAAAAAAAATATGAGAAGGCATTCTGATCCCACCTCTTTGCAGAGGTGAAAAGTCCACAAGCATGATGCCTATTGTAGACATTTTTGATATACTAATGAGTTATGCTGATTTTTTCCTCTTTTCCTTTTTTTGTCTTTAAAAATATTCTTTGTTAGACGGGATGCTCTCTGAGACAGGGAAGAGGGATACTGAGGAAAATTATGGTTACGTAAACCAAAAGACAAATAGATGAATGAATTTACTTAGTTTCTAAGAATATTATTGTCAAGCAATACTATTGTCAAGGATGCATGCCAGCAGTTCTGATTCTAATTCAACTGAGCACCGTGACCTTATCTTGCCTCTTTTTTTCTTCATTGAGATAATATTCAAGAGGAGACAAATTCAGCTCACTCAGAATGGAGAATCCACTAGGTCTTATCAAGTGAAAAGTTGTCTCACTAGATGCTTTTTTATACACTCAGGAAAATACAAGGGAATATGTCACCATCACAGTGTTTTCTGTTATTCATGAAACAAAGAATCCTTTCTGTTTCAGCTGCCTAAATGACAGGGGCTGTTGGTCAGTAAAAGCTCGTGATTTCTTTGTGGCCTATAATCCTTACTCAAACCTAGCTAATGTGCAACCTACCACAGAGCTATCAAGTTATTCAGGTTATGTTCCCCCCCCCCCGCCCCGAACTCTCTGGCTGTTTACAGCCCTGCCCCAGAAGAAGATCACTTAAAGCTTAGATCTGGCTCATGACTAAGATATCATTCCAAAAAGTAGGCATAGGACAGCAATTTATTTCTTCCACACAAAAGAAATGCTTAAACCACCAAAGACTAAAGAGTACAGATGAAGACTTAAATACGAAGTCATAACTTAAAACACAATAGTCTCCTAGAAGCTTGATATGTAAAATATCAAAACATGAAGCATTTTGCAGGGATACTGAAGATGCATTTCACCTCCATAGATTCCACATTGTCTCCCTCAATGTCTTCTGGTAAGCCTGGCCAGATAGTCAGCTCTTCCCTTGACCAGTGGCCAGCTTCTCCAAGAAGGGCTAAAGTAGCTGCATTGAATACTTCCCTACTATCCTGGAGTTAGTACTAACTTTGGGACCCAGAAGTTCTCCATGTCTTAAACTCGTAAGGTTGTCTCTAAGGCTGGGAAGTCCATCTCAAGATTAATATCCAATAAATGGCTGCCAGAGGCCCAAGGTTCAGGCTAAAAATCATCAAGCTCAGACCCATGTACAAGTAAGCACCATTTCTAGCAGGTGGGCAAAGGTGCCTCTATACTCTACCATAGGACGTCTCAGAAAAAAAAAAGTTCATGCTTCAAGTTCCAGAGTCAGAAAGGAAGAAAGAGTGCCAAAGGCAGAGTTACTCCTTCTAAATGGACAGTGCTTCCTGACTCAGTGGCCAGTCTTTTCTTAATCAACTCCTTCCCCTGCAGCCAACATGGAAGCCTAGGGATTGTTACAACATCCCAATGGGCCAAGTCTTTCAGCATAGAACTGAGCCCCAAGTGTTCGCAGTAGCTTACAGAAGACTTCAGTGTGGGCTCCTATGGATTATATTCTAGCCACAATCAATAAGAGGGTCCCTGGGAAAAGAGATGGAGAGAGAAAGAAGTTTCCATTAATTACATGCATTACATACAGTGCTAAGCATAAATATATATATATATATATATATATATATATTTTAAATAACATGTTAAAATGACATGTTATGTATATAAAATAGATTTAATATAACATGTAAAATAACAAGTTCAATGCATATTTAACATAAAGTGTTAAAATGACACCCCTTACTTTGAGATATCCTGTGACTCCTGAATGTAGACAAGCAATCAAAGAATCTGGACAGGCTTTTAGAATAAAAAGAACCACTTCTAGCTGAGTCCAAAGAAGCCTTGTGTTGTGCTACTTTGTCATCTACTTCCCATACTCTACCTCCTATTAAGCTAGTTCTAGACATCTAGATACCCATCAACTACCATAAAACCAGCAAACCTCTACTTTATAAAATGTGAGCAGCCTTCCTTTCAAAATTTAATCTTGGAGATGATTCTGTCATTTTTAATTAAAGAGAATACTGCAAAATGATTAATTTTAGAAGCCACAGTTCAAAGTAGGAACTGTAACTTTTTTTAAAAAACTCCATCATAAAATACTATATTTCCTAAGCCCTTATCTTCAGCTACTTTGTGTAAAAAAATTCTTCCAAAGCACTCAACACAATCTTTTTAACCTCTCAAAACTCTTGCTTTCATCCTCTCCATAACAACAACAACAACAACAACAACAACAACAACAACAACAAAAACCAATGATGATAATAAATAGCATATCTATAGTGCTTTTAGGTCTACAAAGCACTTTACAAATATTATCTCATTTTTTCTTCACAACAACCCTGCGAGTTATGTAGTATTGTTATCCCCATTTTACAGATGAATGAACTGAGGCAGAAAGAGGGAATAAGCCTTGTCCGGGATCACACAACTAGTAAGTCTTTGAGGCTGGATATGAATTCAGGTCTCCCTGACTCCAGGTCTTGCACTCTAACACATTCCTTTTGGAGAACAGCTATTTCCCTGCCCCCTAGACCTGAACAGTCCCCATAGAGCCCAGCCATTAGGAGGAAGAGAGGAAGTCAGGTGGCTATTCAAATGTTTGTTTGTTTTTTTTAAATTTATTTTAATCTTCAGGTATGTACAGAGCCCTCACTGTGCCAGGGATCAGCATGTTATATACTACAGTCAGTACCTGCCCTCAGGCACATAAGACCCACAGAGATGTAAACCTCAAGTTTACTCAAAGACTCAAATAGATGTGTGATCTCATTGATTGGAGACTTCTCTCCATGGACGCAGAGTTAGGAGTTCCATCCAGTGATGCAGATTGCAACCCATCCATGTTTGCCCATCCTGGGTGACTCTCATCCACACTTTCCCAAGTGTTCACCATAGGCTGTCTGCCCAATATGTTTGAGGCTTTCTATATTTTCTCCCAACATCTTGAGGGTACCAGCAGAGCACTATGGTCACCCACCTGTTAATCTATGGATCCTCAGACTCCTGCTTGACCACTACCCTCATGGCTATGTTCACTCTGGCAACATCCTCTTCTTCAGTGCCCTCCTCTGATTAGTAAGTTCCATCCCCAAACTTCTTTTGAGGAAGCGCCTTTGCCAGCCATGCTTACTCTAAACCTGGTGCCGCCCATGACTCTTTCTGGAACTTGCTCCCATTCAGGTCCTTGCTCCCCATTCCAGCTTCCTTTTCTTTCTTGCATTTCCCTGTAAGCTCTAGAGGTAGGAGGTTCACAGGTTGTGCTCATTACATGTCTTCAGCTTTTTCAATGTATTCATCAGTTATGTTGACTTTTTTCTTCTTTTTTAGCATTAAAACATACAACTTATTACAGGAGTGGCTGTCTAGCAGGGGAATAAGGAAAGGTACTGGGGGAAACTGTGATGATGTAAAAAAACAAAAGCCAATAAAAATGTATCTTTCCATAAAGAATGTAAGCTCCTTGAGGTTAGGGACTATCTTACTTTCTTGTTTTCATTTCTATTCTCGGTGCTTAGCAGAGTGCCTGGCACATGCTAAGTACTTAATAAGAGCTGTATCATATCACCTGTGAGCATCCAGTTTTCTCTTCCTGCCATACAATTCCTTCAATCACATCCTTTATAGCTGCTGTTCTTCAGCGTTCCTCATTGGTTATATGTTGTAGCCTCTCAAACCCACCACATAGCTCTGCATCGCCCTCCATGTGATGACCTTCAGTGCTCTGGAGGCAGTAGCATTCTGAGTCTCTCTGTCATGCAGTAATGGCCAGTATTGAAAAAATGGGCCTTTGTTGTTCTGGGAGGCTTGGAATCAATACACACTCTTTTCAATTTCCCAAAAGCAATCTATCCCCCCTCTACCTTTTCTTTTCAACTCTGGTCCCAAAGTTGAGTCCCAGGCTCATTGTCCATATTGCCTGTTCCAAATCTACATACTGTGGAATAAATGCTATGGGATGTCTGTCCACTCAGATGCTTTTTGAAATCTGTGCAATAGACATTCCTCAGGTATTTGGTCTTTCTTGTGTGGGTGCATAGGCCAAACAAAGATTACAAAGCTTGTCTAGGAGGCTCTGAAAAGCCTTGAAACCTAATGCGATCAACACAGCATCATTGGCAAATAGGAGCATGTGGAGGGCTTTACCATACACAAAGCATCCCACCCAAATCTGGACTCTGCACTGAATCTCTTCCCATCAAAACGGAAATATTTTTTGGCAAGCATAAAGCCTCACTTCATGTTTGTTTTCAGAAGGTCAGTGAAATCACAAGGCTAATTCTCTGTGTGTACATATATAAATATATATGTATATATGTACGTATATATATATATGTGTGTATATATACACAGATATATACATATACACATTTATATATGTATACATATATATACATATATTTGGTTCAGTTGTGTCTGAATCTTCATGACCACTTTTGGAGTTTTTTTGGCAAAGATACTGGAGTGATTTGCCATTTCTTTCTCCAGTGGATTAAGACAAACAGAGAGGTTAAGTGAATTGCACAGGGTCACACAGCTAGTGAGTGTCTAAGGCCACATTTGAACTCAGGTCTTCCCCACTCCAGGGCCAGGATTCTATCCACTGAGCCACCTAGCTGCTACACACACACACACACACACACACACACACACACACACATGTCTGTATATTTTATATATGTACAAATACATCACATCATCCTGAATGATATTGAGATATGACTAGGAGACACCTTGTTATAAAAGAGCCTGTAAAACAGCATTTGGTTCTACCACGTTGAATGTTGTTGGGGTTTTTAATCAACCAACAATAATCGTAATGAGATTTCATATTTTCTCCATCTTTCAGTCAGTTGTGAGATGGTGAAGATGAGGTCCCTTGTGGAATATTGTTTGGGAAAGCTTGCTGCTTCCCTATTAAAATCCTCTCTGGCTATACAGGTGAAACGCACAAAGATTTTGGATAGCTACCAGATGAGGGATAGAGGTCAATGCTTGTTAACACTTAGCCCTCTCTTTTGATATCAACCAGGTCTGAGATATTTTTTACAAAGTCTTTAGTATTTTCCCCGATGATAGCTTGGCAGTAGTGGAGATCCCTGGACTTGGAATCAAGAAGACCTGGGTTTGAGATTCTTGCTCTCTGTGTTTCCCTGAGACTGTCCTGTAACTTCCCTGGATCTCTTTTTCCTCATAGACTCAATGGCCTTCAAGGCCCCTTCCAGCTCTGCAGCCTGTGACCCCACAGGCCTCCCCCTTCCTTCACACACCTCAGTCAGGGAGAAGCCCCTTGAGGCTGCCTCCAGCACAGATCTAGAATATGCTCTTCATCTGGCCCAGAAGACTTTCCAAGCTATGTTCCCTCCAGGAACTACTTCATTTGTCATCTGCTTTTGCACCCCAACCCCCAATGGACACCTCTTGCTCCGGGAGTAGAAATCAAATTCATATCTCCTTTGCTACAGGAAAGATATGACAATCAATTGCTCCATGGCTGATTGGAGTGATCGCCATCACTGCAGATCTATCCTTTTCTACTTGGCCCCAGATGGTGGAATTGAAAGTAAAGTAAGGGGTGGAAGTTGCCAAGAGCACATTTTGGCTGCATGTAAGAGAAAATATCCTAATAATTGGAAGTGCCCCAAAGTGGAATTAGCTGCTTCCAGCAGATGTAGTGAGCTCTCCCCTCAGAGACTGGGTTATCATTTTCAGGTATATTGGAAGTGGGGAGGAGGGGGTTCATCAGATTAGAGTTAGACTATCTAGCCTTCTGTTGTTGTTCAGTCATGTCCAACTTTTCATGACACTGGGAACCATACTGTCCATGGGGTTTTCATGGCAAAGATACTAGAGTGATTTGGCATTTCTTTCTCCAGTGGATGAAGGAAAACAGAGGTTAAGTGACTTGCCCAGGGTCACATAGCCAGTTAATCTGAGATCACATTTGAACCCAAGTCTTCTGACTCCAGGCCCAGTGCTCTATCCACTGAGCTACCTAGCTGCCTCAGGTGCCTTCTAAGATCCCTTTAAATTTTGACCGGACTGTGATTCTCCAGCCCCCTTTAGCTCTGCTCTTTTCTCAGGGAACACTCTCCAGTATTGCTCAAGCCTTCCACCTCTTTTCCTTTTGAGTCACCTTTTGTGCCCTGTCTCCCCTAAAATACATTCCCCAGTGGTCTCTTTTGCTTTGTTAGTTTCCCAGCATGTCCTTTCCTTGGCCCACACTACCAAGGCTCAGTCCTCAGGTCACATTACTTCCCCCCTCCCCCCATCAAACCATGCCCCTTCCTGACTTAGACTGAGCTCTCCTACAGCCTCAATCCAAGTCCTTCTCCTCTGGTCACATCTGAAGTCCTCCATTCTTTTCCTCCTCATCCTCAACCAGGTCAAGAACCTCTCTTCTCAGTCACCTTCTCTCCTCCCTCAGTGTATCACTCGGACTACATATTCCTTTCTCCTCTCCTCAGCTCCAACCCAAATATTTTTAGGACAAACATCACAGCCTCCCTATTACCTTCATTCAA